TTTTCAGGCAATAAAAAAACTGCTACAATATAAGAAGGTAAATTTTGACATACAGCGTAACGATCGTAATAGCTCAGGTGGGATGTCGGTCGGGCGTGATATCGGAGTTCCGTGGTTCGCGGCCCGTCTTGGGTCCGCCTTTTTTTCCTTTCCTTTTTTCCCTTTTTTTCCTGTCGGTTATCCGGGTACTAAACTATGAAAAGACATGAATTAAATAACATTTAGTGGGTAATCAACCTTAAATTATAACAAATAAATTTCTTTTTTCCGTTATTGCCTTGCGAGCTACACTCTCACGTGCAAGAGCTCACGTCTCATGTGCGCTCTTACTTACTGAGATGGATTTCTTGGGCCGACCCGACATCTAGTTGGTATTGTTGATCGAAGGTGATACATCGTGTATATGTATATACACCGCGTTTTTGCCCAACCCAGTGAACTACTTAGGCATGTCATCTTCCGTAGTTTGTCGCTTTATAACACCAGGAACTCGCTCTGACATACGGTCTTGTTGATCGGAAACTGACTTATTATAAGTATTTGCCGAAGGCCATGCTCGAAAATGATCACGTCATTCCCTACTAGGACAGGGCCATCATTACAGACAGGACTATTTGGAATAAGCCTGATATTATGGTGCTGGACCAGGGATTGTCAAATATATTTTTGGCCGACAATACCATTCCTTATGTCATGACAGATAAGCAAATAAAAATTTATTATCCTGGATCATGTGGCAACCGACATTGTTCTGCGAACGGGGTTAATCCCCGTCAGCCTCTAAAGTCATATGAGGCTACTGGGACTCCGTGACGGAGCGCTCCGGGCTCTAATGCAGAAGGCGGTGCTCCTCGATACCAACCGCACTGTCCGCAGGTTTCTCTACCTTTCTCCCTAAACTTTGGCCATTTGATCTCTCCTACCGAGGGCTTCCGTCCGGTTGGCTCTTTTTATTTATTTTACATTATTTTAATATAATAAATTGTATTATTTTTATGTATAGTGTTATATTCAAAATACTTTTTATTCTATCTTGCTTATCATTTGTATACATGCATTATACTAAATCCAAACCAGACGAGAATAATTATAAAGTTCTTAAAATAAAGAAGAGTTACAACTTTTATACGTCCCATAACTGGACATGGGTATCCTTTCATTTCCGAGAGAGTTATGTAGCAAATAGTCCGCTGCATTGTTTCAATACGTTTTAGCGGATTTAGCATCATCATCATCATTCATCATTACAGCCCTTCACAAGTCCACTGCTGAACATAGGCCTCCCCCAAGTAATGCCACAAAGCACGGTCCTGAGCCACCTGCATCCATCGACTTCCTGCATGTCTTACCAGGTCGTCACTCCATCTAGTGGGGGGTCGCCCTACACTACGCCTACCGGTACGAGGCTGCCACTCGAGAACCTTTCTTCCCCATCGGTTATCGGTTCTTCGAGCTATATGGCCGGCCCATTGCCACTTCAGCTTACTAATCCGTTGGGCTATGTCGGTCACTCTGGTTTTACTGCGGATATCCTCATTTCTGAGTCTATCACGCAGAGAAACTCCGAGCATAGCCTTCTCCATAGCTCGCTGAGCGACCTTAAGCGTCCTCATACGGCCAGCAGTGAAGGACCACGTCTCAGATCCGTAAGTCATCACTGGCAACACGCACTGGTTGTACAATCTAGTTTTTAGAGATTGAGGTATACCTGACGAAAAGATATGCCGTAATTTCCCGAACGCTGCCCAGCCGAGTTGAATCCGTCGATTGACCTCTCGGTCGAAGTTGGACTTACCTAGTCGGACTATTTGTCCCAGGTAAACGTATTCGTCAACAACTTCGAGCATAGTGCTCCCAACAACTACCGGCATAGGTGTGACATGGACATTGAACATGATCTTTGTTTTGTCCATGTTCATCTTAAGACCTATCCGTTGGGAGGCACTATTGAGGTCATTGAGCATAGTGCTTAAGTCCTCCAGCGATTCTGCCATAAGGACTATATCGTCGGCAAATCGAAGGTGAGTGATGTACTCGCCATTGATGTCAATACCGTATCCTTTCCAGTCCAGTAGCTTGAAAACGTCTTCCAATGCAGCGGTGAAGAGTTTCGGGGATATAACGTCACCCTGTCTTACACCTCTCTGCAGTTGGATAGGTTTCGAGCTCTGGTTCTGTACTCGGATAGCCATCGTAGCCCTACTGTACAAACACTTCAGCACTTCGATATACCGACAGTCAACTTGGCACCGCTGAAGGGACTGTAGCACCGCCCAAATTTCGACGGAATCAAAGGCTTTCTCATAGTCCACATACGCCAGGCAAAGTGGCAGATTGTACTCTTCAGTCTTCTGTACAATCTGCCGCAGGGTATGTATGTGGTCTATGGTACTGAAGCCTTTTCGGAAACCGGCTTGTTCGGGAGGCTGGAAGTCGTCAAGTCTGCGTGCGAGACGATTCGTAATGACTCTCGAAAACAGCACGTAGACGCGGCTCAGAAGGGAAATCGGTCTGTAGTTCTTTAAGAGAGCGTTGTCGCCTTTCTTAAAGAACAAGACCACCGCACTTCTGCTCCACGCCTCTGGAGTAATGCCACCATGGAGGACGGAATTGAAGAGCTTCTGAAGGACTTCAAGTACCGGTGTTCCACCCGCTTTCAGAAGCTCCGCTGTAATTCCATCCTCGCCTGGGGCCCTGCCGTTTTTAAGGTGCTGGAGAGCCATTCTAATCTCGCTTAGACTGACGTCCGGGATATCATCGGAATAGTGTCGGATAAGACTTGCTCTTGGATCGTTACTCACACTTGCGTGTGGCTCCAACGATGATGTGTACAGCTGCCCATAGAACCTCTCAATCTCACTCAAAATCTCAGGTGTCCCGGAAACGATGTTGCCACACTCAGTCTTCAGCCTTGACAGTTGGCTCTTTCAGGCAGACAGATCTCTGGCAAAGACTTTGGAGCCCTGGTTCCGCTCGATCGCTTCTTTAATACGAGAAGTATTAAAGTTGCGTAAGTCTCGCCGTATGCATTTGGAGATCTGTCTGTTCAGTTGCCTGTATGCTGTCAAATCTGTTGACGATTGCAGCCTCATCTCCCGTCTAACAGCCATGAGATTAAGAGTGTGATCGGAGAGTTTTTGTGTTCTTCTGCGGCGGGTCTTACAGAACTTAGCTCCGACCGCATGGACAGTTTCCACGAGCTGTCGTTCATATCGTCCACTGCATTGCAATCTTCTAGGCACTGGAAGCGGTTACGTAACTCGAGCTGAAAGGTTTCGGGATTCTGGATTAGAGCACGAGGGGGGACGGAGCGTTTACTTCATTAGACGAGACCTCTCCAACTTAACGTTTAGGTTCAGTGTGCCTCTAACCATTCGGTGATCGCTGCCAGTTTTCACCCTTGCGATCACTGAGACATCACTGAACAGTTGACGTCTGGTCGTCATAATGAAGTCAATCTCATTTTTTGTCGAACCGTCGGGGCTCGACCAGGTCCACTTCCTGTGGGGCCGCTTCTGGAAGAAAGAGTTCATCATAAAGAGTCCCTCTTTCTCCATAAAGTCGGCCAGCTGCTGGCCCCTTCGGTTCCGTTGCCCCACTCCAAATTTTCCTACCTTCAGCTCACCGCTTTCTCTTGTGCCCAGTTTTGCGTTGAAGTCTCCCATCAACACCGTGTAGTAGGTTCTGGAGGAATGTATGGCTCTGGAAATATCCTCATACATTTCCTCCACCTCCTCATCGGGATGTGCCGAGGTTGGTGCGTAAACCTGAATGACCTTCAGCGAATACCGTTTGGTGATTCTGAGTATCAGGTACGCGACCCTCGTCGACACACTCCCAATCTTTACAACGTTGTTGACGAGAGATTTGTGGACGATAAATCCGACACCTCCTTGGGACAGATGGTCGCCCTCCCGGTGATAGAACAAGTTGCCGGACTCGAGGATTGCCGTGTCCTCCCCCTCTCTTCGGACCTCGGATAATCCAATAATATGCCAGCGCAACTTGTCTACCTCTTCTTCCAGCTCCAGTATCTTCTCGTCAGTCCTCAGGGTGCGTGCGTTATATGTTGCCAGGTCGAGTCGTCGTAGGTGGCAACCGAACCTCCACCGGAGATTCTTAGCACCCCCCTGCCCCGCCGTTACCATGGTCGCCACCGTAGCCAGGAATAGCGGGGCCGCCGGGGACTGGGGGCCGTCTGTTTGTGTATTTGTTCATTGGGGGGTATTTGCCATAGTTGCCACGCTTGGCGAGCGGGTTGGCAACCGCAGTTTTTTATTACGTCACAGTTGTCATCAGGAAGACGCTGCTGCCCATCTCCTGCCTATCTCCCTCTGTCGCCTCTTACGACACCCACGGGAAGATATGGGGTAGTGGATATTCTTAACCGCCACTACACGGCCGGATTTAGCATGTAATACTAAAATTCTTACGCATACAGGTTTTCCCACTATATTTTAGCTTACCACCAAACACGTAGTAAATCAATACTTAAAATATATTCTTACATTGATATATACCCACTATAGGATAGGCCCATGCGCAACAGTGTACGGGTTGAAAAGAGTATTTACAGTGTATTGGCGGCATAAGAATATTGTCTACACCATAGCGTGTCGTAGAGTGTTGTAAGACGTGACAGCGGGGAACTGAAATAAAAAATAGGCTGCAGCATCTCCCTGATAACAACTGAAAATAAAAAAGCTGCATTTGCCAAGCCGCCTGCCGAGGGTGGTAACTATTACAAAATCAGTGGTGAGATTTTATAGGCTGTAATGATGGATGATCGGGAGTGCTACTGTCAACATAATATGGTAGATTTATGTAGGATTAAATCAAATTAAAAACTTGTTTTAAAAAATATTTTATATTATACAACCCGATTATCACTTTCATACAAATGTAACGACTATTTAATAACATCACGTCGTTTTAATTTAGTAACACTAATACTAAGTATACTATTTACAAAGGTCAATCGCTCCATAGCGTTTTAATTATCATTGTCTTCGCAACGATCTGCCGAGTTTTGTTTTACTGTATCCTGAGGAAATTGATACTTTGCTATCTTCTTGATTTAAGCTTATACCTGATAAATCTACAAATAATGGCACGTTCTCTGAACCCTCCGAGGCAGTGTCGCCGTTAACGTCTTTGTCAAAGTTTTCTGGAGTTCCCTCTCCTGTGATGGCTAGGTTCTCAATGTCTTTGCTTAATGAATTGTTTTCAGCGGCTTCAACAAAGGCGTTCGACAACTCCCCGCTGAGTTTGTTAACGTTGCCGGATGCAATGTCGTACATGAATATTTCTCTGTTCTCAGCTGGTTCATCATTCCTGTAAATTTAAAGAAAATTATGTTAGGGTAAACAGAATTAGCAATAGATATTATGTTGTTTGTAAGAAGTTTACATACGAAATACCCGACAGTCTGTCATTTTAACTTCTTTATCGGCCTCTGTTAATGCACTGCTGGAGATTTGCCCATACTCTACATGTCGGGCAAGAGGATTCTTTTTTTTTTAAACCTTACCCTACACTAGGATTTTTCCCTGTATTGCTGAGACAGTTTACGAACATAAATTGCACAAGGACAAACATCCAGACCCGGAACAATTATTTGTAGGCCATACAAATACTATAGAGGCGTGGTAGCTCAGATGGTTAACGCTCGCTGTAAATATAACAGAACGCGAGTAACCCGTGTTCGATCCCCACCGGCACCAATGAAATTGTTAATTGCAATTTTAAGTGCTGATTTACCACGTGCTCGGCGGTGAAGGAAAACATCATGAGGAAACCTGCTTGTCTGAGGAATAAGAAAAAAAAATATTTCGAAGATATGTGAAGTTCGCCAACACGCATAGGGGCAGCGCGGTGGACATTTCCTTGCCCTAAAACCCTCTCAGAAACAAAGGGAGGCCTGTGCCCAGCAGTGGGAGGTATATAGGCTGTAACTTTACTTTTTATACAAATACTTGTTCCGTGCGGGATTCGAACCCGCGGCCCCCAGCGCAGCCACTCATTGCTAAGCCACTGCGCCACGGAGTGGCCAAGCCGATTAGTAGCATAGAGCCGACACTTTCGCATTGATAAAGCTGCTGCCCACACATTATGTCATGATTAAGTTTCAGTATTTTCAGCCAGATGTTCCACAATTTATCGTTAAAGCCTTTTTGGCAATATATAATAAACAGTGTGCACAGTGTGTAGAAGAGATTGGGCTTTGGGAAAATAATTCTCCTTATCGTTAACTTATTTATTCTTAATATTTAATTTATTTTTTATTTTTTTATAGGATAGGGTGACAAACGAGCACACAGTCCACCTGATGGTAAGTGGTTGCTGTGGCCCATAGACATCTACATCTATCCTCGATTACGAATCAAAATGCAGATGCGTTGTTGTCACTCGTGCGGACTAAGATGGAATGCCTAGTTTCCAGTAAAAAGGGTCTCCGGTTCTCTACACTCACCATACGAAACATAGCAGCATTAAGCTACTATTTTACACTGATATTCTGTGAGAGCGTGGGCCTTTCCCGGTCGAGCCGACCCATTCGTGCCACAACTATACTACTAATATAACTACAGCATGGCTCTACCACGTATTGTAAATGAAATGATAGAGGCTTTATTAGGACTAATAATTTACATCAAGCGCTACTCATAGTTATAGATTTAAAAAATTATTTGTGTTTAAAAAAACTTATTATATTATTGGAGTGCAATGCAGTGGACGATATGAATGACAAACTCGTGGAAACTGTCCATGCGGTCGGAGCTAAGTTCTGCAAGACCCGCCGCAGAAGAACACAAAAACTGTCCGATCCCACTCTTAATCTCATGGATGTTAGACGGGAGATGAGGCTGCAATCGTCAACAGATTTGACAGCAAACAGGCAACTGAACAGACAGCTCTCCAAATGCATGCGGCGATACTTACACATCTTTAATACTGTTCGTATTAAAGAAGCGATCGAGCGGAACCAGGGCTCCAAAGTCTTTGCCAGAGATCCGTCTGCCAGAAAGAGCCAACTGTCAAGCTGAAGACTGAGTGTGGCAGCATCGTTTCCGGGACACCTGAGATTTTTAATGAGATTGAGAGGTTCTATGGGCAGCTGTACACATCATCGTTGGAGCCACACGCAAGTGTGAGTAACGATCCAAGAGCAAGTCTTATCCGACACTATTCCGATGATATCCCGTACGTCAGTCTGAGCGAGATTAGAATGGCTCTCCAGCACCTTAAAAACGGCAGGGCCCCAGGCAAGGATGGAATTACAGCGGAGCATCTGAAAGCGTGTGGAACACCGGTACTTGAAGTCCTTCAGAAGCTCTTCAATTCCGTCCTCCATGGTGGCACTACTCCGGAGATGTGGAGCAGAAGTGCGAATCTCTTATTCTTTAAGAAAGGCGAAAACGCTCTCTTTAAGAACTACAGACCGATTTCCCTTCTGAGCCGCGTCTACGCGCTGTTTTCGAGAGTCATTACGAATCATCTCGCACGCAGACTCGACGACTTCCAGCCTCCCGAACAAGCTGGTTTCCGAAAAGGCTTCAGTACCATAGACCACATACGTACCCTGCGGCAGATCGTACAGAAGACCGAAGAGTACAATCTGCCACTTTGCCTGGCGTATGTGGACTATGAGAAAGCCTTTGATTCCGTCGAAATTTGGGCGGTGCTACAGTCCCTTCAGCGGTGCCAAGTTGACTGTTGGTATATAGAAGTGCTGAAGTGTTTGTACAGTAGGGCTACGATGGCTATTTGAGTAAAGAACCAGAGTTCGAAACCTATCCAACTGCAGAGAGGTGTAAGACAGGGTGACGTTATATCCCCGAAACTCTTCAGCGCTGCGTTGGAAGACGTTTTCAAGCTACTGGACTGGAAAGGATACGGTATTAACATCAATGGCGAGTACATCACTCACCTTCGGTTTGCCGACGATATAGTCCTTATGGCAGAATCGCTGGAGGACCTTAGTACTATGCTCAATGACCTGATGGTGTCTCCCAACGGATAGGTCTTAAGATGAACATGGACAAAACAAAGATCATGTTTAATGTCCATGTCACACCTATGCCGGTAGTTGTTGGGAGCACTATGCTCGAAGTTGTTGACGAGTACGTTTACCTGGGACAAATAGTCCGACTAGGTAAGTCCAACTTCGACCGAGAGGTCAATCGACGGATTCAACTCGGCTGGGCAGCGTTCGGGAAATTACGACACATCTTCTCGTCAGGTATACCTCAATCTCTGAAAACTAAAGTGTACAACTAGTGCGTGTTGCCAGTGATGACTTACAGATCTGAGACGTAATATATTCCTCCTCCTAATATAGTCCTTCACTGCTGGCCGTATGGGGACGCTCAAGGTCGCTCAGCGAGCTATGGAGAGGGCTATGCTCGGAGTTTCTCTTCGTAATATACTCAGAAATGAGGATATCCGCAGTGGAACCGGAGTGACCGAAATAGCCCAACGGATTAGTAAGCTGAAGTGGCAGTGGGCCGGCCATATAGCTCGAAGAACCGATAACCGATGGGGAAGAAAGGTTCTCGAGTGGCAGCCTCGTACCGGTAGGCGTAGTGTAGGGCGACCCCCTACTAGATGAAGTGACGACCTGGTAAGACATGCAGGAAGTCGATGGATGCAGGTGGCTCAGGACCGTGCTTTGTGGGATTACTTGGGGGATGCCTATTTTCAGCAGTGGACTTGTGAAGGGCTGTGATGATGATGATGATGATGATGATTATATTATTAAAATTGAAAATAAAAAGATGGAAACTTATTTTATTATGGTTCTCCGATATTTTAATGAGCAACTATCAAGCAATCGCATCATCTTGAATTAGAACCCAAAAGAAAAGCTAATGGAATGATAATGTATTCTGAATGCGTAAAACATTAAGAGATATGCAAGTACAGTTAATTCAGAAACATCTTGTACAAAACGTTTTAAACTATGTGATCTGAGTAATAATTCAATTAAGTAAATTAAAGTTTTTATTTATTTTAATTTAGTTAATTCCTTGGAGTAATTACATACATACTGATAGTAATTTCTCTGAAGTTAATTCGTGAAGTTTGAAAAATTGAAGTACTTTTTTTAAATTTATTAAATAAGTATTTAAGTAGTAAGTTTATTAAATAAGAAGACGAATAAAAGTTAATATCAACCAGAAGGAAGAAATTCGCCTAAACACAAGAAGTTAAACAAAATATAAATTATTTTATCGCGATACATTTTTATTGCCCGAAATAATTATGTGCACGTTACTTACTCTGTTACAAGAAGAATGACAGACTGATGATCAGTAGCGGTTTTTTTCTCAACTTCAAGCCACTTTTTAAAGTTATCAGTTGTGGGTTTCTTTAGCAAATCGTGTAAACTGTCTCCGGCGACAAACTTGATTCCCTTTAGACTATTACTTGCAGCTCGCTCGGCTCTAGTATGTTCATTATTTATTTCCTCTGTTTGGACAGGCGCTAATACAACAACTGAAGTTATTTTTTTCCCCTTCAGAATATCTGGTAGGGGAAACTGATTGCCGCTTACCTTTAAAGGTAAATATCTGTTATATTTCTTGTCATTTAAAGCAACGGGTTCAACTTGAGTAGCATCTTCTTTAACATAATCTTTTGCAATATTCTGACCTTCAAGAGTACTTGGATCATAATGTACAACTTTCATTTCTACGGCTTGTGATGCCGTTAATGGAGGTGCCACATAAGTAGCAATATTCTCAGATGCAGCAATGTCCTGGTCATTTTCGTCAACATCATCATCGATTCTAGATTCAATCTGATCACCATTTGGTTTTACTACAATAGGCTTGAGTTCACTTGATGCAATTTGATGAGCACCCCCCGCACTGAAAAAGTTTGCTAGTTGGTCCGGAGGTAAAGACTCTAAAGGAGTTTCACCAACTTTATCATAATCTAAGACACTGATGTCAGCATTATCTAAAATTCCGGAAGAGAGCAAGTGCTGGCGAAGATCATCTGGTACTTCATCGGGTAGTTCTATTGTTGGTTTTTTATTTTTCTCTTCTTTATTTGGTTCTGAAGTGGATGGTAAGGAGTTGACGGTGGAGGAAACGTATTTTTGTGTAGTTGGTTTAATTTCAACGGTCCTAGAAGTAGATTGATAGTAAGGAGATTGTGTACTTGAGACAAATTGCGTTTGAGCTCTAGACCTTTCTTGTTGATTGTAATTATTTCTGTACTGGTTATATTGATCTTGCACAAACTGATTTTGTTGTTGTCGCTGTTGTTGCTGTTGCTGCTGTTGATGTTGCTGTAATTGTTGATTATAATCCAGTTGCGTCTGTAGACGATGTATCTCTTCTTGTTGTTTTCTAACGTTTTGAGCTAATTGTTGTCTAACTTGTTCCTGTTCGGCGACAAAGACTTGCTGTTGTTGTTGATTTTCTTCTTGCTGTTGTTGTTGTTGCTCGTGTTGATGCTGTTGTCGTTGCTGTTCCTGTTGGTGTTGCTGCTGATGTTGCTGAAGGTGTAATTGATGTTGCTGTTGCTGCTGTTGCTGTTGCTGTTGCTGTTGTAGCTGTTGTTGTTGCTGCTGTTTCTGTTGCTGCTGCTGCTGCTGTTGCTGATAATAGTGCTGTCCATGCGTTATAGATGTAGGGGTCGATTGCTTAGTATCACTTAAGCCTTCAAAATTGCCTTGAGGATTTCGTCCGTCGACTGTAATATGTTGTTCGTATTTAGGTATCGAAGGTACCAATTCGCCACCATTGGGTATAAATTGACCTACGTTTTGTTGGTGTTCAAGATTTGTTTGACTTTGGAAGATATTTTGATAGTTTGAAGGAGGTCTTTCTGTTTGGCTTTGTGATTGTTGGAATGAACTCACAGATTGTTGCTGCTGATGAAAACTTTGTTGGATAGGTGTTGGTGAAGGTTGGGGATGAAAGCTAAAAAGAGGAGGAGATGATGGTTGGGGAAGGAATTGATTTTGAGGGATAGGTGAGGGTGAAGGGGAGACATGACCCGAGAATGAGTTATGGTTTTGTTGGGCTGATAATTGAATGGATGGTCCAGATAATGATTGGGCTCCCTGATGAAAACCAAACTGTTGTTGAGATTGTTGTTGAACTGACTGATGTGCCTGGAATGGAATTCTGCTATTTTCAACATGAGGAGGAGAAGGTTTTAAATTAAAAAAGGGCCTATTAGGCGAAACGGAAAATGATGGTTTATTTGAAACTGAATCAAATTGCTGAGGTTGTCGTTGTTGTGGTAGTTGTTGATTATAAGGAATCAGTTGAGGTCTACTCTCTGAGAAATGAACAGTTGAAGGACTAGGACTTGGTTTAGAATTAAAGTTTTGTGCCTGACGAGTTGGTAATAACTGAACCTTAGGTGGTTCTACCTGTTCTGTTGTAATGGTATGATAATTCTCTTGCAAATATTTAGGTTCATCGAAATATGTTTGCTGTTGAGGTTGAGGTTGATGGAATGGCCTTTGCGGTCCAGAGTGGAAAGTAGTTCTCATTGGATTATTAAAATGTGGTCTAGAAGCAAAAGCAGGAGGGTTGCTTGGACGAGCATGGAATGAAGGTCTTGATAATGACGTAGGAAAGACAGGACCAATGGGACCTGCAATGGTCGGAGCAATATTGGTAAAATGGGAACTTGGAGAAGCACTTGGAAAGGCTGGATGTGAACTTATTGAAGGAGATGGTGCAAATGGGCTTTGTCTAGTAGAATGTGGCTGACTCCTAAACGGTGCTACAGATGGCCCTTGTCTTGGTAGCCGGTAGTCATTAGCCAAGAAAGATTGCTGGAACTGCACTCGATTTTGGGCATGTTGAGTACCAGATCTATATGTTTGTGACAGATGATCTGTTAAAGGACTAGAATGTGATAAAGGTCCATTTGATGATTCGCGATATTGCTGCTGGGAAGAAGCAGAATGCGCATAGGTTTGATGACTTGGGTGCGCATTTGGTAAAGCAATAGAAGGTCTTGGGGCAGTTTCTTCACGATCTTCATGTGGTGTATTTCCTTCTCGCCGATCACCGTAATGACTTTCCTCACTACCGAACGTCACCTTAACACTACTATCGCTGTGATATACTTCTGATTCAGGCTTAATAATAGCTCTTAAAGTAGTCGTTCGAGTCGGTAAATATAAAGGTTCAGGAGTTACAGTGACATATTCCTCATGATGCTCGTCTTCATCATTTGACGGTGGTGTTATAGCTGGTATCGGTTTCTCATACACAACTTTATCCTTAGAGTGAGGGTCTTTGCTGTATTTAACGTAGAAAACGTGAACTGGTTCCTTTTTCTTCTTTTGAATTGGTGGTGGGGGTGGTGCTGGCAGTGATTCATTTGATTCTTTAATTATAATTTCAATTATAGGTTCAGGAGCATCTATATAATGAGTTTGTGGTTCATAACTATACAAAGGTGCAGTCGGCAATGCTCCATAGGGTGGACCGAATGAGCCTTCGGAAGATTGATCATGAATGTTCAGGATTTTTGGCTGAGCATGGATTTCGTTTTTGTTAACTACGGCATCATCTAAATTATCATGGCTCGGATCGTACAGAGGATCCTTTTGGGAATATTGGACGACTGGTTCCATTTGCACCGCGTAAGGCGGAAGTTTTCCTCTGGGTACATTGGAAATCCTGCGGTTGCTCGATGTAGATCGGAAATGAGCAACTCTTGAATGCGGGAGTACCAAGGAGTATTGTAGATTCTGTGGCGATCGTATATTATCGAGTTGTCGTTTCGGTTTTGCTTTCGCTGTCGAGTTTTTGGCGCTTGTTAAGCTGAGCACAGCCAAGGCTGTAACCTGAAACAAGATATACAATATTGTTAGCAATGTTATAAAGTAATTCGAGCTGATTATAAAATTTTAAAACATGTTATAATTGTTTACTAAATAAAATGCCAGTTTTAATTATTTTATGTAAATATTGATTCAGCAAACAGTGCATTACACTCAAGTCAAAATCCAGTGCTGAACATGGGACTCCCCATATTGCCTTATAAGAGATATTCGCCATAGTTGCCACGTTTGTCATCTGCTGGGTAAATTCTTTCAGTCAACAGTTATTTTATTAGTATTTGTTGGCTGTCATTTTCCCTTTTAAAGTTTCGAGGTAACTCCTTTAGACTATAATATGTTACACTAGAAATATTTGTTTTGAATACAATACTATCATAAATTTAATCTGGGCTGGTTATTACGTACTTAATAATTAAAATATATAAAATTTATAAATCAAATACGTACTATAAAATTTATCTCCTTACATATTTTAGAGTACGTGCTACTTTTTAAACAAACACTAGTGACCCGTCGTGGCTTCGCTGGGTAAGTGCATGTGCATGCAATCCATTTATGTGGCATTATTTTGGAGATAATCAAAAACTATTTATTTTATTTCTGGATATTCTTCCACTACCACTACTAATCAATATACCGTATATTGATTTGACCCTTAGAAACCTAATTCTATCTTTGGTTAAAAATTAAAATGCATGAAATGAAGTAACTCAATACTTCGATTCCGATAGAAATACGAAAATAAATAAAGCTTGCTATTTTGACCTTTAATATTAAGAAAGCAAATAAAATACGTACAAGAATTATGAAAAAAAAAAAAGTAAAAATGCCTAACACTCGAAATAAAAAAGAACATAAGAGTTGTGTAAAATAATTTACATGCATCTATTAAGGGGATTCTCAAACAAATCTAAAAAGTGAGATATGAAGTATTGTAGTATATAATTTTGCATTTCTGAGAATATTATACCAACAATGCTACTTGCAAGTTACACATGAAGTAACTGATTATAGGATCGATCCACACAACCGGACGTACATAAACAATATAAATAAATATGATAAATATATTTTCGCGTATTTATATTTTATGTGAAATTACAAGATTTTTTTCATATTAAGGTACATATTTAATTATATTCTTATTAGACTTAAGTTCTATAATTATAAGCTATAAAAAAATGTATTTATTTTTTTTGTCGGTGGGAGGTGTAGTGTAGTATAACATATTAGTGTTAAGGTAGAATAAGTTTAGAGTAGTATAATTAAAGACAGCAAGAGTAACGGGTCTCCTTTTTATTTAAGACCGTCCTACGCACAGCAGCAATACTCTACTATTTTCAACTGGTATTCTGCACGATTGTGGCCCTTCCCAGTTTGTCCCGATTTATTTCTGCCGTCATAATACTTAACCTACAGCGTGGCTCTACCATGTAACATTTTACGAATGTTATATATTTTAAAAAAGTACCGTAAAATATATTTGACGCGCCGGACTATTTTCTGCTCTAAAAGGTTGAGTCCACAGCTTCGCGCTGCTCCATTGCAGACTTCACCTGTTCTCGGAATAATTTAATTTCTCATGAATGTAGGTTTCCTTTCACTGTGGTAGATTGAACACGTAGTATTGCGCTTATTAATTTCGAGATTACAAGTTCATACCGATTTCCTAATGGTCATTTGCGAGCCTCTCTCGTTCTCGTAGAGGGCGTGTATGATGAAATTCACGAGGTCGCTTTATAATTTTACAATGTCTCATCACATTTCACAAACCTCATAAGACCCATAACAGGTGTGTTTATGGAGAAAGTGATTTAACATGAAATGCTCTTGTGGGAGGTATGTTTATCCGTTTTTGGACATTAGGGCTTGGTCCAATAAAAAATCCATGAGGTCATACTTATATATTTTTTACGAGGTAGCTCAGGAGCTGAAGCTTTAACTTTAACAGTACGCGAGCAACCCGGGTTCGATTCTAGTCAGTACCAATGAAATTGTTTGATGTACCTGGTGGTGAAGGAAAACATCATGAGAAAACTTGCACGTTTGAGGAGTTTACATAAAATATTTCAATGTCATGTCGAGTCCGCGTCCGCAATATGCATTATGGCAGCGTGGTAGACGCCTTGCCATAAAAAGCCTCTCAGTTATAAGACAGTCTAACCAGTCTACCACATGGTAAGTGGATGCTGTGGACCATAGACATCTCCATTTATGCTTGATTATCTAACCTCTTCAAGATCTAAGATGGAATTCGTCGTTTCTAGTAAAAAGGATCTCCGGTTCTCTACACTCATTCTGCGAAGTAGCATTAAGCTGCTATTTTACGATGGTCTTCTGTGACATCTCCTTCCAGCTTCCATCGCATACCCTGGCTGATAAGCCTCACCTCTCCTCTCTGCCCATCTCCACTTTGATCTACTTCAAGCGTTTCTTTAATAAATCGCTTTAAAATTTTAACTTGGACCGTAGCTAAACGAAATGCTTATTTGGTTGGACTCGTCAAACCACATTCCAATAAGAACAAAAGTACGCGTTATGTAGCTTTTTGATTTCATGTCTCCGCCGTGGAAAGGTTTATTTTTACCAACAATCAAGTTACCACATTTTTACGAGGAGGTACCAAAATGTAATAACTTTAAATAAATCTACAAGGTACGTGAGGGTAATATGCTCGCTTTAAGCTTTGTCATCTTATTAAACTAAAACTAGGAGGATAACAGAGATAAAAACACAAAGAAGTACACTATAATTAATAAGTATATTAACAAAAAGATAATATACAAGCTAAGAAAATACAAGCTTTGTCAATGATTAGGAACACTTCGAAAAATCAACCAAAAAAAACTTACGACACTACACAATACGAAAAGCGACTGAAATGTTTACTATAATGTCAACTGTCAAATGGCGTCGATGAAGCAGTGCCCTTTTGACACTTTAAAGTTTGATTGACTGATGAAGAGCTATCGTATCACAGAATAATCTATGCAAACAAGGCAGTAGTTTTTGAGTTATAAGAAAGTGACCATATTAACCGCATGACCATATTACCCTCACGTACTATACTTATAAATAAAATTAATGTCTGTCTATAATCTTGCAAGAACCAGCTTTTATTAGGCTCCAAGTTATTTGCATACTTTTAAAACATAAAGAACCATTTAAAAAAATCTATCTGTTTGTCCATGCTTAACCTTCGGAATGGCTGAGCGGGTTGTGATGAAACTTCACGAACAGGTGAAGAGCAATGTCTGGAGAAATCTAGGCTATATTTTATCCGAAAACATAATAACTAAAAAAATTAATAAATCTAAATATTGCCATGTTAATAGATCCTATCAAGCAAAACTGGGGCGTGTCACTAGTGTATAGTAAATAGGAATATATGAACAATTTACCGACGTCTGTCTTTCCGTTCGAGTACAATCAATAGACTTTTGTTTTGTTAAGACAGAACGATTTACTTCTAGGGCTATCATCTTTCGTCTAGAGCTTCATCACCACTTAACACCAGGTGAGGTTATGGGGCAATATATATGTAATTAATTTATGGGGCAATGTACACGCTTTTACAACAAAATCCCAGAAAATGTACAAAAATTGTCATTAAACAAGTTTAAATGTTTTATTAAAGAAAAATTGTTCAAAAAGGGTTAGTATAATATCAAAGAATACATAAATGATAATAACCCCTGGAAATGAGGTGATCTTCACCATGCTGGTTCTATACAAATTCATGCAAAAATTATACAAAATAAATTATTGTAAGGTGAAATTTATTTAAAAAAAAGTCCCGCTGGGTTTCTTGCTGGTTCTTCCCAGGACAGAGGTTTTTTTCCGAACCAATAGTAAATAAAAAAATGACTTTCAATAAGTATTATGCAATAATTTATATTGACTAAATATTTTATTTCAAAATCAATCATTTCATTCATTTCATTTAATTTCATTATTGTCAAGCTCTAGCTTGTTATAAGTAAAAACAATGTATATAATACAACATATATTATTATTAATTAATTGCGCATGGAAAAACGTTTAGAAACTGTATAATTATTGACCGAGATTATAATTGGTCCATCCTTTATTTAAACCCAAAACTGCACCAACCAAAAACATCATCATTACAGCCTTGTATAAATCCACTGCTTTTTTTTTCCTTTCTTTTTTTATAGAATAAGGGTGACAAACGAGCACACAGATGGTAAGTGGATGCTGTGGCCCATGGATATCTACATTTATCATCGATTAAGTATCAAAACGCAGATGCGTTGTCACCCCTGAGGACTAACATGGAATGCCTCGTTTCCAGTAAAAAACGGTCTCCGGCTCTCTACACTCACCATACGAAACACGGCACTATTAAGCTGCTATTTTACGCTGGTATTCTGTGAGAGCGTGGTCCTTCCCCGGTCGAGCCGACCCATTTGTGCTACAACCATAATATAGCTTCACCGTGGCTCTACCACGTATAAACCGCTGAACATAGGCCTCGCACAAGGAATGCAAATCATCTTCCTGGGCCACCTGCATCGATCAATTTCCTGCATATCCATGTCGTCACTCCATCTACAAGTGATTGACATTTATTTTAACTCACAGAAGTAAATTTCATAACAAATAGTAACCGCACTTTAGTTATATAGAACTGCGTAACGTACAGCGATATAAACGCGTAATAGTCTTCAAAATCAAATTAGCGCATAAAAAAAGCTGCAATAAGCGACTGTTTTCATAACACTACAGTTAACATGTCCATTTGCATCAGAGTTATGCAACCGTCAAAAATAAAATTGCTCAAAATATAACCATTCGCATGAGATAATTTTTAAAAATAATATAAAACTAGCTGTTCGCTTCGACTTCGCCCGCATGGAAGTTTTAGCGCGGAGCTTAAAAATAAAAGTAGCCTGAGTTACTTATCATAACGACAGATATCTGCCAGTGAAAGTCCCATCCAAATCGATGTTTTTGCGTGATGCGTGTTCACACAGACGTCG